AGTACTGGAGATCCGTAAGGAGAGACACTCGGCCGGATCCAACCCTTCTCTACGAGTTCCTTGAGTTGGCGGCGAAGCTCATCAAGCTCGCCTGGAGACATCCGATAGATCCTACCCTTCGGAATACTAGAACCTGGAATAATCTCTATCGCATGGACGACCTCCCTATCAACAACCCCTGTTGGCTCTTCAAATAGATCAGGGTACTTGGCAACTACTCCCTCTATCTCCAAAGGCATTTTCACCGGATCGCCTGCAGCAGAGACATAAACTACGTACATACCCTCCTCCTGATGTTGCTTATAGTAGTTATAGAATGCGGCCGCACACATGCATCCATGGGAATCGATCAAACTACTAGCTTTGAACTTGTGTAGTTTGGCGGTCCCTCCACCTGGCAAAGTGTGTTTGACCACCTTTCGGTCCCAGTCAAACTGGGCCTGTGCCACAGAGAGGTAGTACATACCTAACAAGATATCCATAGGGAGATCGTCGCTCACTAGGAATGAGACATGATGCCTCAACTAGCCTCCCGCGAACGGGAACAGGCATTCTTCATCCTGAAGGTAGTCATTAACTACCATGCGCTGTTTGTTGGCACAGGTCGACTCCATAGGTCGACTCAGGCGCTGCACTTGCCCCTGTAAACGCAGCCTCTCAACGCACGCGCGACTAATAAAGTTCCTTGTCGAGCAAGTGTCATAATAGGCCCCGGCCTTGCGGCCGCCTACGACTATCTCGCTAACGAACATCTCTCCCTTCGGGGCTTTAGCTAGTGTCGTCCAAGAAGCTAGCGGGTCTAATCTAGACCACTCCTCCTCTAGCTCCTCCAAAGACTCGAACACATTCATCGAGCAAAGGGTCAATGGGTCTAAATGCGTTTGCGGAACGACAAGGGAATCAGCAGCTTGGCCATGATGCGAGATGGCGAGGGTGTCTCCACCACCTCGTCCCTAGTAGGAACAACTACTATTCCTACTGGCCTGACGTGTTTCCCGGAGCAGCGCCTGAAGAACTGGCAACATTGCTACCTATGGGAGATGAGGATCCTACCGCCTGCACCATAGTAGGCGGGATCTTATCGGTGACCTTCTTGTTCCTACATTTGAACTGGTTATGGGCCGTATTGACCACAACGAATGCAGGCCTGTCGGTTCCACCGATCTCTCCACACGTCCTCTGAAAGACCCGCTTTCTCCCATGGAGGAGCATTGGGGTCAACCTGATTCCTAGACCGGGAGCCCCCTCGACGTCTACCGGGCCCCTTACCTTTTTGTTGGGTTACGGCGGCGACTACTCCACCCTTTGAAGTATCGCCACCTGCCTCTGCACCTACTCCCTCCTGGAAGTTGCCGTCCAACTCAATGGTTGAACCATCGTTGTCGACAAACATGATGCGACCCTTCGCCTTCCAGATGGGAGGTAGTGTCTTCTTCCTCCCGTCCGTAGTGGGTGTCTGTCCATGCCCTATCTTTGCTTCTAGGTCTAGGGCCACCTTGCTGAACGAAGGAAGTTGTGCATATTGATGTTGGCCTCTTTTGCCAATTGGTTCCTGAGAGGCTGGGATAAGCATCTCAAGTACGAAGTCAGCAGAACCCGGGGGGTCATAGCGCACACCTGGGACACAGATTAGACGCTCAACAGCATCAGTGGCTTCCCTAACTGACTTATACTGCCGCGTGTGCAATGTCAGGATCGCATCAATGGCCTTTTGGGCCCCCTGAGGATTATGCCATCTCTCTTCCACCATCTTCAGGAAGTCCTCCAGTTTCTGAGAGGCTGCCCAAGAGCGGAAGTCATGACCGTGCCCCTGGAGTTGTACTAAACCACTCAACCATCTTGCTGCACTACCCTCTAGGTAGGATGCAGCCACAAGCACTTCTTCGTGCGGCAAGGTGAGTTTACACCTGACGTAGACCGGCACTGCCCTCAACCAAGTGTCGAGGTCTTCGCCTCTCTTGTCCCCTGTAAAAGGTTTGGGAGCGGCGATGGCCGTCTTTGGAACCCACTGAGTTTGTCTCGGTCCCTGCACCACCCCGGGCTGTGGACCCGGTGATACAGGTTGCTGTGCTAGCTGTTGCAGTTGTGTGCCCTGTGGCTGCACAGGTTGCGAGACAGCAGGCTGCGTGGTAACTGCAACATGCAACAGACTCTGAGCGAACACTGTCTGTACAGGAACCTGCACACTACTCCCTGCTGTTACCCCTCCTAACAGAGGCATGCCAGGGAAACGATAGCAACCGATGACGGGGCTACATATGGGGATACCCCAGTCACCGGTGGAACAGAAAAAGGAGGATATGGCACGGGCCAGGCACCAGGCCCTGCCGGTGATGGTGCTCCCTGAGAACGCCCTACCAAAATGGCTAGGCTCTGCTGGATATCATGAAGGATGGTAGTTTGATGCTCCTGCATCTCTATTACTCCTAGCAGGGCCCTCCTAACTACCCTCACATCGTCATCCATGTTCGTCAGGTCCATCGACTCTAACTCCTCTATGTCTGCCCCTCTCCGTTGCATCCTGGTCCTTCTTCTAATCATCATCTCCTTCTCCCTTTTTATCTGTCCTAATGCCTGCTGTAGTTGTGCCTCTTGCAGGGCTGCCTGCTGGATGGCGACATCCTCTAGGGTCAACACCGCGGGCGGGCTTGCCATTAAGCCAGTGGACTGACTCACGGTCTGCGCGACCGTGGACCCGGCGGTACCTGAACTACCGGCTTGGGAAGTCTGCTGCGCAGACGTGCTCATGGTTGTGGTAGCCATGGCTGCTGTAGCACCGGCCTCGCTAGCTAATGCCCTGCTGGCCTCGGCTGCTCTAGCTCTCCTCTGCTGCTGCCTCTCCCTCTGCCTGCGGAACAATTCCCTATCACCCTCCGCTCCTAGGGACACGTGAGTTATTGGGCCTCTAGCTGATCGCAAAGTCCTGCGGTCATCCTCTCCGGTGTCCCCTGTGTCGCTCATGGGCTACAACACTGTGGGTTGTCTACACTAGATCATTCTAGATGCCTACCGCAGCATAGTGCACAGACCAAATAAATGATGGTGGCTATTTTGGAACAGATCTCATTTGGGGTCAACAGGTAAGTCAGATTCCTACAACTGAAACTATTTTTAATATGACTAGTCCGCAAACAGAAGCACCAGGAACAATCAACAGTCCTAACTAATGCTGTCTGTCAAATGTCAATGGCAGTCCATCTAACTAATCAAAACATAAAAATAGAATCACTTGTGTGGATAGGACAGCATGGTATTTTCTCGAACTCATCACCTGGAATCAACCCCTCCCTCTAATCTACACTTGAGTATCTCTTGTCGTCAGCGTCCTGAGCAATCGGGTAGCATGCGTGACTGAAGGTGTGCAATCCGGTCCCACCCCTGTGCCCCAGGTTATCGTCGAGCAAGGCAGCCACAACACTCTTATTTATCCTCATACGCCGACGAGCCTTACACTCGGTCGATCTGGCTTATCAAGAGGCAATTTAACATCCGCCCCCAAGTGACTCCAGGAATTATTTTACGTCGCAGTCGGACGACGATCACAGCCAGATTCAGAGACGAGTCCCCAACCAGAAATGTTTATAGACGGTCTGGTAAGCGTCTCAAGAGGCTGCCACACCCGAGTTAACCTCTATCTGCGCAAGCAGCAGAACCAAAGACTTGCAGCGAAGCATGCATGTACTACACCCAGTGGGTTGGCATGGTGACCGTGACCCAGTGCTTCATCCAGGGCCCTTCAGAAAGCAACGCCCTCTTCCCCCTGATGCTCCACAGGAAGTATGCCGACTCTCAAGGTTGAGCGCACTCGACACCTCACGATGAGAGGACTCTCAAGTTAGATCAGACAACCTCACGGTAAGAAGTGTCGGAGAGGGTAGATAAGGTTGGGAGTAACGTACCTCAATATTGCTGCCCCCAACCACAGAGATAATCTCACCAGATGACCCAATGGCAATTGCGATGACCAATCACTGCATCGGCACAACCAGCATTATCCGCCATTCCACCTCAGCATCAATTGCACATTAGATAGTTCTCATCACACTGTCCAGACCACATACACTTCACATAGCCTTCCTGGCGAACCCCTCACCTCATGGGTCGCCTTCACACTCATCTCCACCCTCCTCACTACACACCACTTACGGCCAAACTCGCCCAGCAGACCGCATGTATGTACCGCATAAGGCAGAAGACAAGSGCCARATGAGCGCAATCGTACCACAGCTCCGATACCAAATTGCAAGGAAGATGAGCATTAGCGAACTCCAGCAATCAAACAGCATCATACATATGAGTCTAGATAGTCTTGACCTCGAACCAACAGCAGAAATGCATCACGAGAT